GTCTTTTCTTATCTGTTTCTTGTTTCTTACTGTTATTATTTTTGTGTTGTACGGTGTCCTCGAGTGCCCAGAGAGGCGCCTTTAAATAAAATGTATTATTATTATTATTATTATGAAAATACATTTGAAAATGAACATTTTGAAAGAATAATTGTTATTATCTGAGCTTGAAAACTGCAGTTGATAAAACAATTTGAAGCTTTTGATCATATCAGCAAATATCAATCAACATTTGAACTTTATTTCTATGACAGCTGGACAAACGGCTGAGGAAGCTCATGTAACTGGGTTTTAATAACCAACTGAATAATTATTGGATCAATTATTAATAATTCAGTAATAATAATGATCAGTATGGAAGCTCAATTTCACCAGTCAAATTTAATTTTGAATTCTGATTTACCACTGTTTGAGTTTGGCTTGGTATTGCATATATTAATTAACTCTTATTTTCATAATTCTGACTTCAAAAGTAATTATTTTTTATTTATGATCACATAAAATTAAATTACAAAATCATAATGTCTTCTACTCTCTTATCATTTCAACTTAAAGAAACCCATTTTTCAGGTTGTGTCTCACAATGTTGATTCAGTATGTTGTAATAATTCTAATTTAATAAGTGTTTTAATATTTTTCTAATTATATTGCCTCTGTATCTCTTTTAACGTAGAATTAGTATGTTTTTATATTTTTGGTTTTTCTTTTGTTTTCCTGGTAGTATTGGTCTTCCATACATTCCTCCTCTTTCCCAAGAGGAGTAGATGGGAGGTGTGTCCAGTCCTGAGACTGGAGCCCCGGAGCTCCAGCTGGTGTTTGGCTGATGACGCTAGACCAGGTGGAGGAAAATCTCCTTACAGAGGAGGAAGAGGAGGGAGCCAAGAATTATACAGAACGGCAGTGAACGCAACACTCCATTGACACACAAACAAACACAGCAGCTCCCGTCCCCTTCACAGGGAGTTGAGCCGGACTACCGGCTGCATCCATCCGTCCTGGTCCCGGTGCGGGTCTATGTTCGAGGAGTCTCTCTTTTGGAGGCTTTAAAGCCGCAGCAAGCGGATCTGCGAGCGGTTTATATTCTTCAGAGGTAAGACGGACTCTTTATACTCGTGAACAGGTGTGACTCATTCATTGAAGGTAGAGCTCAATTAATGTAGTTAATGACAGTTAATTAAAGCTATAGTGCATTTAGTGAACGGGTTCTCATTCCCAGTTCAGTGTTTGCACTGTTGGATTCTGATTTTTAGGTTGTTGTTAATCAGTAAATCATTTTAAAATCAATTGTTAATTGTTTAACAACGTGCGCGCACAATGTCTGACTACCTGTGGTTGTGTCACCTGGATAATAAGGGTAGTTTAAACGACTTCCACCTGTTTCAGATTAGTTTGTGTGCTTTTTAATAAGCATTGTCCAACAAAAGGCCTGTGAAAGAATATTTGTACGACTGCTTCAGTTCACACTTAGTTTTCTAAGCATTTGTGCTCTTCTTCAAAAGGATGGATTTATTTTTGTCCAAGAGGTCCTGTAGAATGCTGTAAATGTATTTATTGAAATGAAGGTTATAAAAGGAAACTGGTTCCTAACCGCAGGACCCCCACAAGCCTGTGACCACAGAATTGAAGCAAAAGCTTCAATTTGTTGTATAAAAACTAAAAGTACAGGCAAGACCTTTGTAGTTTTAGAGCAAACAACACCAGAATTCATTGATTTCTTTTAAAATGAATCTTGTTATTACAATCTAATAATCCTGAAATCGTTTGTAAACTAGAATTTCTTTCCTTTGTCTATCTTTGTCTGCTGTGTGATATCATTCTGTTATATTTTGTTTGTGCTCTATATGTGATCATGGTCCTGAGTCACTAAATGAAATGAATGCAACATTTAAAAAACTAATGATACAGTGATGAATGATTGACAGTATAGGACAGAAGAAAAACACATTATTATGTTTTACTTTTCCAGACCTTTTTCTATAATCTTTGCTTTTCCTAGTGAATTTCTAGATGTCGTCACTCCTAACAAGTAGTCAGATAAGCAAGGGAACCAGCGGTTGATCATCGGAGAAAATCTCGTCCTGAATATTAAAGAAATTAAATACGAAAGTTGCACCTTAAAGGATCGCAGTTGTACCGGATTGTAGTGGCGGATTTATCTCACTGGGTAACTGTCCTTCATTTTATTTTTAAATGTTTAAGTCAAACTCCCAAGTTTGAAACTAATAATAATGATGATTTATTTTTCTTCTTTAAAAAAACATGAACGTTTTAGAAACAGAAAATCAGTACCTTAAAAATTGTTCAGCAAAAACTAAAATGAAAAACATAATAGTAATATTTTTAACTATTGCTACCGTATTGCTACCGTATTGCTACCCCGTCGCCCCCTCTCAGCGGTAACTGTATTTCCTTAATGCCCACATGTGTTATCGCAGATAAGAGCAGCAGGATGTGTACATCAGACCACACCCGAACATGCCAGAGAACAAACAAGATGTTTTCTGTGGCTGTTTGTATTTTAGAGCCTTCTGAATATTTGTCAAACACCTTCACCCTTAAAGCTGAAGCAGATGGGAATCACTAAATACCAACAAGATTACATCTGAGGGCAGCAGGGGAGGAAATGGTTGTAGGTAGCTCTGTCTACTTGTACTACTATAGGTGTGCATGTTTAATCACATATTGAACTTTGAAGATCTTTCTGTCTGAGCAATGTGCAGCCCAAACACATTTTCAGAGCACAGTTGGGCAAGCAGATGAACCTTTATCCACCCTGGACTTTTTATCTTTGTTGTTTTCAAACTAAGTGCTAAACATTTCAGAACTTACAGTCTGTGCAGTAAAAACTCCAGCATTCAGAAAGCACAAAAATCATAAAATATAACACACAAACTGAGCAGCTGTTGTTATTTACTTCAGATTGTGACTCATCCGTAGTCTGAGTACCTGTTGCAGTTTATGAAGGAAATCCTCTACAGACCGTTAACAGTGTGCCACTATGCAGATATCTTGTAAAAGCTGAAATTGAACACACTGAGATTAACTTTTCAGGCTGATATTTGCCTTGAAAACGAGTCAGAAAGAAAGAGATGTCCTATAGAATAAAGCTACGTGAAGTTTGACCTACATAGGTAAAATGCTTAATCCTAAAGCTGCTTACAGTGAACAGTCATATACGTTGGCATTGAGGAGGTGGAGGATTATGAAAAAGGACTCGTCAACATTAAACTTTGTGGGTCTCTGACACATTTTTCTGTGAAGTTTATGAGAGTTAACTTTTCGCTTATTGTTGATTCTGGATTCATCCGGTTGGGTTGAAATGTTCCCGTTGGTTTTAACCGTGTGGCATAAATTTAGAACAGGATGAGCTCATTGTACTTAAGTAGCCATTTTCTCAGTGAAGGGTTGATTAGCTGGTCAAAGTTTGTGTTTTGGTTAAGTGTGTCCTATTTGCTACCCAGGTACCTGTATGAATTTAACTATTTACTGAAGTATGTGTTATAATTGGATTGAAATGAATCTATTACCATTACTGTGCTATTGTTAATGCTAATGCTAGTAAGGACAACGGATTCATCATTAAAGGTCCAGTGTGTAACATTTAGGAGGATCTATTGTCATAAGTGGAACATAAACTTTATAGGTATGTTTTCATGAGTAAAAATAAGAATCGTTCTTTTCGTTACCTTAGAAGGAGACGTTTTTATCTGCAGACGCTGCTGGTCCCCTTCTGTGGATTCCGCCGTGTTCAACAGCGTGTTTCTACAGTAGCCCAGAAAGGACAAACTAAACGCTGGCTCTAGATAGGGGTGTTTGCATTTTTTGCGCATTCTCCTACACGCACATACAGCCTGTAATAATTCCCAGGTCGTCAAAAACAGACGCAAGCAGTGTTCAGTTAGCTGCAGTCTGCAAGATGCCACTCAATTCTACACACTGGTCCCTTAACGTTACAACCTGGTGTGTTTTACATGATGTGTAGAAGAGTTTTCATTGTTTTCTGATGTTTTTAAATGGATTAGGAAAACAGTCCATTAGTTGAAGCCCTAACTAAAAGCACTGACATGATTGCAAAATGATTTGAACTGGCTGCAGATGCTTATGTGATGACGAAAATCTGAGAAAAGCAGACACTCAAAGCACCATGAAAGATGACACGAGTAGAGATTTTAAATGGTTTTGGCAGCCTGAAAGCTGAAGCACCTAATCATGAATGATGGCTCTGAAAAGGATATTTTTTTTCCAGTTTAGATTTTATTATTTTTATTGGGTTATTTCAGAACTTATAGAGTTCATAAGCTTCTCTCACTCCGGCAGCTTTATGCAGGTCCAGTGTCATAGAGATACTCTATAGAGATGAGGAAGATCTGAATGTGCAACCATCTCTTGCTTTTCATCAGTGCTATTTTCCCAAATGTTTCCTACATGTAATGTGAATATATAAATATACTTGAAACTAGAGCAGCAGGTTTTGAATTGGCAGTGATTTAATAACATGGCAAAAGACTTAACAGGGTTAGAATCCAGATACTATATAGGCTTAACATCAACCAGCGAACCAGCTGTGTGAGCTTTTCTCTGCATGGCGGTGATAGATCTGTGACCAAAACCCGCTGTAGCAGGGAAAATCTCCTGCAGGCAATGGACTCTGCCTGCGGTGACGGAGGTGTGGAGTCTTGTCAAGGCTGGATCTGGCACACCAGAGGGGTTTTTCCCTTGTTGCCTGGCAGAGGAGAACATTGCCTGTGATGTAGACAAAGCCCTCTGCCTTGACCCAAAGTCTTGATGCTGAGGCAGAATGAATCTCTGGTCCGAGAGTCAGAGGTTTTGTAAATGTCGTCCAAAGATTTGGTTTTGTGTTTACAGTTTTGATAAAAGGGTGGACAGTTTCAAGAAATGTGACTTAAAAATTTCCAAAAAACTCTAAAATGTATTGATTTGCTCCCTCAGTTTTCTGTGAAACTTGTTTACGTCGCTTCTGAATCCTGTTTGTGAAAGTAAATAAGCAAGAAATCAGACATGAATGGATAGAAGCTGCAGGGGATTTCTCTGCACTGCACTGTACAATACTTCCTGTCTGCTGTACTCTAGAGTGGAAACCCAATAGAACATTGAGTAAAATGGCTGATCATGTGTCATATGACCTTTTTAACATAATCTCTCATTATCTGAGTAGCCCAAAGAAAGCTTCAGGCATCAAGGCAATGTTGAACTGCTGTGGTTCTACAGTAGCCGTTTGGCATTTTTCACACCACCGTAGCTTCTCCTACACGCTCCATTCTGCTTCATGCACCTTGTTTTAAACTGTTCTGAGCATTTCACCCAAAATAAATTGGTTTGGAAGCCAATAAGTTGGTTCCAAGTCGTTGTGCATCGCCCTTTGTTCTTTGTGATTGTTGTCAAATTAACACTGATATCTAGTCTAAAATTAACCATTGTCCTCACTGTGTGTTTCTGTGTCAGCATATTCCTGACATGAGAGCTGTTAATTAGTAACAGCTCAACATTGGTAACGTGATTATATAGTGCTGCAGTGTTTATGCCAAACCTAAACCTCAGACGTCAGCAGAGGTTTAGGTTTGGCGTGTGTGTGTGATTGGGTTCACAGCGGTGCATGTGACTCCCTGTGGATCGAATGCGGCTGTCTTTTCAGATCTGTGTTTCCTGTGTGTGTGTGTGTGTGTGTGTGTGTGTGTGCGTGTGTGCGCTGCCTGAGGCGCCATGTGAGCTGTGGTGGGTGGGTGCTCTGACCAGTGCTGGAATGGAGCTAGAGAGCGGCGCACATCCTTCAGATAAGACTTAATCGCTGCTGGTTCTGCGTGACGGTTGAAGTTGTGGCCACAAAGTCCAACAGCCGTGTGTCCGACAGCACAGCAACGTCTGGTTGTCTTACTGCCACATGAAAACACAATCACAACATTTTAGAGACACACAAAATTTTAATTAACTCTGACTTTCCTGAAGCACAATAAGAATGAACCCTTCAGCACTTAACTATTATTGTCAAAGCAGATTGTTTCAAGATGTACAAAGAAACTAACGTCACCTGAAGAAATGCAATACAAGAAACGCAGCTCAAAGTGCTTTACA